GAGATGCTGAAGAAATTGTTACTGACATAACCTCTTGGCGAGATTGGCCTACAAGGAGACAGTCATCCAAGGTATGGAAATTCTGTATATCCCTGACATCTAATCTGGGACTCTACCACAGCAAAAACTTTCAGGAATGCCCTATATGCTGTCGAGAGTCCAAAGTGAAGGATGTGGAACTGGTAGTGCTGTTGGACAGCCATGAAACGTAAGACCTTTCTCTGTGATGTGAATGTCCACATGAAAATATGCATCCTTCATGTTGAGAGCTGCAAACCACACTCCCTCCTGAAGAGAGGGGATTAAAGGTGCCAGTGTTGTCATCATGAATTTCAACTTTTGGATAAAGACGTTGAGCTGCCAAAGATCCAGGATAAGATAGCCTCCAAAGATGACAGAGGAGAAGTAGGTGGCAGCGGTGGCGGTACATGGATCTTGATGTGTATGTCAAAAATGTCCTCTGGCCTGTGGTTGGGAAAGGTTGGAGTGGTGGAGTGAGCCGAGAAACAGGACCTCTGAATCCACTGTCACTTATGAAGAGGTTCAGGTGGATGCTAGGAGTTTGGGATACGCAAAGGGGGTAGTTGTGGTTGAAAGGGATGTTTCCGGTATTTCTTCCAGGGGGCTGGAGTTTAAATCCCCAGAGTTTGCAGGGTGGATCCTGAGTCTTTTAGAGAATATAGAGATTCATCTGTCTTTTCATTTAAAAGGTTGGAGTAGTCGAAGCAGAGGTCTTTGATAATATTTTGGATCTCTCCAGGGAAGCCCAAGACTGAAGTCTCAAGGCACTTTGCATGACCAGTCCTGTGGACAGAGATCTGGATGCTGTATCAGTGACCTAAACCACAGTCTGTGGAGCCACCTTTGTACCAACTTCCCGTTATCCGGAGAGGACTGGAATTGGGCTCAGTCTTCCATGGGTAGCTTGTCTTTAAATTCGACAAAACTAGTATGTGTGTTAAAATCATATTTTGCTAATAAGGCTCGGTAATTAACAATATAAAATTGGAGGCCCACAGAAGAGAAAACCTTCCTACCTAATAGGTCCAGTCTCCTTGACCCCTTATCTGTTGGAGGAGATTTTTGGTAATGTGGCTGAGCTCCCTCTGTAGCCACTTATATCACCGACGAATCAGAAGCAGGATTAGAAGCGTCTTTCTGCTCTTTTTTGTGTAGGGGCACAAGATGCTAGTGTGTGCCAAACAGTTCTGGTTGGTTCTAATATGATCTCACTGATTGGGAAGGCCACCCTGGTCAGTCCCTGTGGTTGTAAGATGTCCAGAAGTCTATGTGGAAGGTTCTGTACCTCCTCTAGAGGGATTCAGTGACACTCTGCAACAACTCCTGATATTGACAGTGGTCATCCAATGGAGAAGGCAACAAAGAAGTGACCGCGTCATCCAGGGATGATGAGAAGGCTCTCAGTGGAACCAGCGGAACTGGCTGACAAGAAGGGGAGGAGTGGTACAACTCCTGAGAGGGATCCAGGCACTTGCCATAGGGGTCCCAAGGGCCCCAAAAAGGCATGAAGGAAGGATGCACCAGCTGTGGTAGCCCCCATGGGAATCAATATGAGGTGTCCATACTAAGGGTCGTAGCCAGAGGAATAGTAATGTCTTGGCTGTCTGCCAGGACTCCTCTGCCTTCGGGGAGACACGGATACAGCTACCTCCTCTGATTCCTCCGACGGTTCCACTGATAATGGCAGAACCATTGGTACCAAGGCGCTCCAGCCCAGAAGATGGAGATGGGGTCTCTCCTGAGACAACAGCGCTGATCCCTCCTCTGTGGTAAGGACGTCTCTCAGGAGGGCAGGGTCTGAAAGGAGTGGAGACTGCGGATAGACGAAGAAGATACCCCTGGCATTTACAAAGGTCTCTGCATGGCCCAAAGTCTGAGGAGTTCCAGTAGAGAGACCTGACAGGCCCAGTTCAGCTCGCCAGACGTCCTATGGATAAACGAGCCAGCAAAACGAGTCCAGACCTGCACTTGTGGATGGGACAAGCGAGTGTCTGTCTTTGCATCCTGGTACCGCAGTCACTGTCAGAACCAGCACATCCCTCTTCTGCCATGCCTTACCCTCCAGCCTGGAGTTCTTTGGCAGAGCCAGTTCCGTGAGTTCCATATGCGACATCTCACCTGATCTGGGCTGGCTTGGAGATTTGGACAATCCACTGTGGGGCTCTATACTTACACCCATGCGAGTACCTCTTGCTCTCATGGGGAGACATGTGTGATGAGTCCTTGGGATTCAATGGTAAGGGCTCTGCTCTGAGGCTCATGCTTGGAGGGGCACTGCTGGTCAGCTGAGGCCAATGTATGTGGGAGGGGTCTCCTGGGCCTGGGTCCAAGTGGGGCATCATAGCCTCTTCCATTAGCAACTTTTTCAGTCAGAGCTCCTGGGCCTCTCTAGTTCTGGGCAGGAAGGATTTGCAGATACTGCACTTAGCGGAGATATGTGCCTCCCCAAGACAGAATAGGCATTGATAATGCTCATTGCTGAAGGACAAGGAGCAAGAGCAGGAGACGCAGTTTTTCAATACCAGGACCCTGGGCATAGTCCCAGGACCAGGAAGATTTCCCCCCAGCTGGGCAGGTATGCTATTCAGTACTAAACTTTATACTAACTAAAATTCTTAAGATATAAACTATTTCCAATTAATTTTTTACAAGTCCTGCAACAGCAAAGGAGGACACAATTCCAACTCAGGCCATGCAGTGCGAAGAAGGAACTGGAGACGTGTCACCTAAACTGCCTTATACCCTAAAATGGGCGCATGAGGAGAGCTGCTGCGCATATGCAGGTTAATGGACACTGCTTTGAAGACATTTCTGGACTCGGGCGCATTGTGCGCATGCTTACGGATGTGTGGAATACATAGAATCATAGAATATAAGGGTTGGAAGGGACCCCAGAAGGTCATCTAGTCCAACCCCCTGCTCGAAGCAGGACCAATTCCCAGTTAAATCATATAGGGACTATTGCTTGAAGGAGAACAGGAAGCTCCAACCCTTAGCACAGCTGGTGAGATGAAAATGAGAAAGAGTCAACGTGGTCCTGCCCCTTAATCCCTAAGTTGCAAGCATGAAGATGTATAGGGCACATGCACCACCCCAATGGTATTGCTAGCAAAAGTCTCAGACTCAAGTGCACTGGGAGCACATAAACCTACAGTGGAGTAAACGTTTTTTACTTGCAGTTGTTCCAATTCAGAGCCCAATTTCCACAGCTACTGTGTTAAGCTTCTGCTCATCATACTTTTTCTGTTGCGGAACATCTGTATACAAAGTGAACTGTGAAGGTGGAGTAAAGGGAGAGGGCCTTTAAGAGTCACCATATTGAGTACTGAAGACCCAACACTGTTATCTCCTACAGGACAATCAATGGAGTAGTCCACTAGCAGCAGCCTACATTAGAATGCTAAGGAACCTAATCTGGCCCATTAGTTCCGAGGTCAAGACAATACAACAGAGTCCACCTGCCACAAAGGGATTAAAGGTGATCCCTGACTTCAGCCTGAAAGTTATTTCAGCTTTATGTTATAACAGCGATTCTGATTCAAGATGCTCCGACTCCAGCCCAGGTTTCATAACATACTAGGAATGTGATTATGGTATGACAACTGAGATCATATCTAGGACATTTTGCCTCATTTGCATATAGAAAGAAGTCAACAGACATTTTTAAAAAACAAATCACGTTTCTGAGTGGTGAATGGCTATAAACTGCAGAAATTTAAAAGCAGCAGATGTTGCATATAAAAATATTCATTTCCCCACTGAGAGCTTCAGGACAAACATCTGGTTTCTTAACAATAAAGTAATTACAAAAATATGTCACCTCCATCCCCAATAGGTTCACCCTTTACGCCCAGTGTTAATATATTCTCAACTGATAGAGCTTCCAAGAAAACTGGTAGTCTAAATGAAAAGGGGAATATAACTTTGTACTTTGCCAAAAACGTGTTGTTGTTTTTTTTGCTGTATGTTTTTTAAAGACTCAAAAAAGCAACTTTGCAAACTTTAAAGTCAGTCATCTGGTTCCCATTTACCTTGACTGCCAAAAATATATAACAATTAAAAGGACAAAAAAAGGTATGCAACAGACATTTAGAAAACTGGTGCTCCTCCTTCATATCTAAATCATAAGCCTTGATGCAAATTACTAAAATTCCTCAATTGCTAATATAGAATTTCCCCAAAACAAACATTCATTGTAAAAACATCTTTCCAACAAGTTGTCTAAGAAGTCACTGAAAATACCTACTTTAATGAATTACCAGACTGCAAATTATAAGATATAGCCTCCTAAAAACACATAAATTGTATATTTTTGTGTTAATCGTAATATCACTAGGAGAAAGTATCAAAACGGAAAGTACAGAAAAAGTCTGAATCTGCTAATGCTGACAAACTTGCATTTCATGTTTAAAACTTGGACCTTCTCTAAATACATGTTGTAATGCAACATTTTACTGTTCATAAATGTGACTAATATTGAATACATATAAAAGCGGCAAACAGTTCTGTGGCTCCACTACATGCATCTGACGAAATGGGTATTCACCCACGAAAGTTTATGCTCCAATACGTCTGTTAGTCTATAAGGTGCCACAGAACTCTTTGCCACTTTTACAGATCCAGACTAACACGGCTACCCCTCTGATAGGCCCAAACATATGTACTCTATCTTTGTCTCAGTCAGAAAGCAGCTCCTTTGTCTCTTAGCTAAAATATTAGACAAAATGAAAAACATATGACTTGATACATAGGTCTTCATTTCATAAATTAATATTTTATTTAATAAAAAGAGGTGAAATGATTAGGTATGGTAGAGCAATACACATTGAATATGACCAGTTTTAGTAGATAATATTCCAAGTTAGATGAACTAGACTGATTTACCACTTATTAAAATTATTCTGAGTACAACCCCCTGCTCCAGAATATTACCTCTCACCCAAGGGAAAGAATGCTAGCACAGCCTTCTTTACCTCATGGGAAGTGTTTAAAGCTGACAATCTCTGAAGTACTGTTCGTTTCAGCATCTTGGAAATAAACCACAGCTTTATTCTCTTATTCAGCCACATGGGATTAATGCATAGATAAGAATATCTATACTGAAGAAAATCACAGGAAAACTCAAACTCTGCTACAACGGTAGGTGTTCTTTTGTAAGAAAACATCTTAATCCACAGTTCATCTAAAACAGTTTTAACTAAAGTAACTACTGTATCGATTTCATTGGGAAAGTACAGTAGAAACCTTTCAAGTTTACTTAGAAACTTATTACTTCTTGCTTTTTTCAGTAAGGGGTACAACTAAGTCCTCTCAATTTTAAAAAAAATTATACGCATTTTTGTTTTGTTCATTTTCAAATCCAAAGTTTCCATAAACAAACGACCACAAATTTCTTATTTTAAGTTAGCTTTGAAAATCATTATTTTGAACTTCAAAATAAGATTCGGTCTTTTTGTTTTTAACAATTCAACCACATGCTTGCCAAGTATTTTAAATACTGTTTAACAAAATTTTCTGGCTATCAAACAAAAATGAAAGAAATATGATATCTTGCTAAATGTAAGTGACGACAATGAGGTTAGCATTGCCTTCATTATTTGGAAACTAGTAAGCTTTTATTTATTACTTTTTAATATATCTTTTGCTGTTAAGTGCAGATTTTTATAGGGCTAACATTTAATTAAAGAATACCAAGAGTTAAAAGTTGATCCCTGTTTCTTATGCGTTAGAAATCCCTGCCAACAAGTCCTCTAGGCTTTAAATATTGTTTTGACAGATTGCATTTTTATTTCCAGTCACAAAGAAAGTGTTCTCGATAGTCAACACTACCATTTCTTCTCCAGCTCAGAAAAAGCCAGACACATTTTCTCTGCTAAAATGACGACTTTCCAGACTATGTTTTTTTTATTTTTCTTTGTGCCTTTGGTGAAGTTAGTACCTCCAATTCAACAAGAGTCACTCAATCTTTATGAGTATGATACAGACATTTTCGAAGAACTGTTTAAACAAGATTATGAAGACAAATCCCAGGATGCAATAAAGAAAAAGGTATTTCATTTATATTATAAATTAGCTATATAATCTTTTAAAAACCTGACAAGCATTATGAATGAATTAGTTATCAGATGCATGTATACACATTTTACAGAAAACTCTTGAAATGGTAGGGAAAAGGTGGATCACCTAAAAATTGAAGCAAAGCAAAAATAAAATCACAAAAGCTTTCTTAACTATGGTTTTCATTAAGGGTCTGAGAAACCTAGAGAATATAGGCAATCACAAAATTGATGGCTGACACACCATTCTTAGATCCCTTATCCTGACGTTCCCTGGTATTTCAGAGGTCTCAAAAGGACATGTCATGTCCAAAAGACAACAAGGTGAGCCAAAGATTGAAAATCAGGATGTAGTTAGTCTTAATTCACGAGTTTTGTTTGTTTGTTTTGATATTATAATAGCACTTGAAACACTTTCATGAAAGTATGTACCGTATATGTAATATGTCATCATAAACCATAGCAGTTCTTTCAAGCTGGAACACAATCAATTGTAATATAATGCCGCTTTTGTTTTTTTAACTGATAGTCTGTAATAGCTCTGAGCAACTGTATCCTACCAAGCAACACTAGGGAGTCCACTGCAATATCAGTACTCTGTTTGTGTGGGCTGAGGGGGATAGAGAAGAAAGCGTGCACTACAACACTCCTCAGCACCCCCGAATGACAAATTGTGAGTGATGCTACTGTCAATCCTGATGCCCAGGAAGTCAGGTACTCAACAAGAGATATACTCAAGAAAAGGAAGGAAGATTTAGTACAAAGTGCCAACCTAAAATACAAATCTCATAGCTCTGTTCAGACTACTCATGAATGGAGCTAAGAGGTGAGAGTTCTTTTGATATGCACCATGCATAACTGGGTTTGAAAAAAAATTAAAGAAGTTTATGGAGCATAGGTCCATCAATGGCTATTAGCTAAGGGTGTCAGGGACGCAATCCCATGCTCTGGATGTCTCTAAACCTCTGACTGCCAGAAGCTGGGTCTGGACGACAGACGTGAACCACTTGATAAACTGCCCTGTTCTGTTCATTCCCTCTGATGCATCCCTCTGATTCATCTGGCACCGGCCACTGTAGGAAAACATGGTATTGGATTAGACAGACTATTGGTCTGACCCAGTATAGCCATTCTTACATTCTTATGTACAGCTGGGATCACACAGGCTGAAGGAAAGCTAATTTGTTTAATTAATGCTTAATGCTAACTGCCAGAGGAAAACTTCCATGGTACGTATACACATTTGCAGTGGCAATTTCCAAATATTAAGAGGCTTTTAAGTTATTTTTTACTTAAGGCAAGCCTAATTGCTAACTATGAAACTTATTTTCTAACATAAGCAGCAAAAGAGGGCGAGTCAGCTATACCAGCTCAGAGAATGCAGTAGTGATCACAGAATCATAGAAACGCAGGGCTAGAAGGCACCTTGACGGGCATCAAATCCAGCCCCCTGCACTGAGGCAGGACCAAAAACATGTAAATCATCCCTATTTGGTGTTTGTCCAACCTGGTCTTAAAAACTTCCAATGATGGGGATTCCACAACCTCTCTTGGAAACCTATTTCAGAACTTAACTTTATAGTTACAAAGTTTTTCATAATAGTTAGCCTAAATCTCCCTTGCTGCAGATTAAGCCCATTACTGCTTGTCCTACCTTCATGGGACTTCAGTCTTCTTTTCTCAAGGGTTTTTTTCATAGGTCCGATTTTCTAAACCTTTTATCATTTGTTGCTCTTATCTGGAGACTATCCAATTTATCCACATCTTTCCTAAAGTGTGGTGACAAGAACTGCACACAGTACTCCAGCTGAAGCCTCCCCAATGTTGAGGAGAATGAGACAATTACCGCCCATGTCTTACATACAACATTCCTGATAATGCACCATAGAATATTAGCCTTTTTCACAACTGCATCACACGGTTGACTCATGCAATTTGTGATCCACTGTAACTCCCAAGATCTTTTTCTACAGTACTACTACCTAGACAGTTATTCCCCATTTGATTTTTCCTTCTTTCGTGATGTACTTTGCACTTGTCTTTACTGAATTTTATCTTGTTGATTTCAGACCAATTCTCCAATTTGTCAAGATCATTTTGAATTCTAGCCCTTTCCTCTGAAGTGCTTGCAACCCCTTTGAGCTTGGGGTTATAAGCATATTTTTCACTCCATTATCCATATCACTAAAGAAAATATTGAATAGCACTATACCCAGCACTCACCCCTGTGGGATCCTACCAGATACACCCTCCCAGTTTGACAGCAAACCATTGATAACTACTCTTTGAGGATGGTCTTTCAACCACTTGTGCACCCACCTTAAAGTAATTTTATCTAGACCACATTTCCCTAGATTACTTATGAAAATGTCATGTGGAATTGTGCCAAAAACCTAACTAAATTCAAGATATACAACATCTACTGCTCCGCCCCGTTCACTAGGCCAGTAACCCTGTCAAAGAAGACAATTAGGTTGGTTTGGCATGATTTGTTTGTGACAAATCCGCGGTAGCTAGTCTTTATAACCCTATTATTCTCTAGGTGCTTACAAACTGATTGTTTAATAATTTGTTCCAGTATATTTATTTCCAAGCGTCCAAGTTAAGCTGCTTGTCCTCTTTGTTTCTCTTTTTAAAGATAGGTACTGTGTTTGCCCTTCTCTAGTCCTCTGGAACCTCATTTATCCTCCATAAGTTCTCAAAGGTAATTGCTAATGTTTCTGAGATTACTTCAGTTAGTTCCTTAAGTACCCTCAGATGAATTTGATCTGTCCTTCCCAACTTGAATGTATCTAACTTATCTAAATACTCTTTAACCTGTTCTTTCCATATTTTGGTTTGCAGTTATGCCTTTAATATTGCCTTTTTGAGAAACTGCCAGATATCCTGAACTCCGTTATCCCTTAGATTTTCTTCCCATGGGATCTTACCTGCCAGTTGTCTAAGTTCATTAGGTCTGCTTTTTTGAAGTACATTGTCTTTATTGTGCCACTTTCACTTCTTCCTTTCCTTAGAAACATGAAATCCATTATTTCACAACCACTTTCAGCCAAATTGCCTTCTACCTTCAGATGTGCAACTGATTCTTCCATGTTGGTCAGAATCAAGTCTGAAATGGCTGTTCCCCTGGTTATTTTGTCTGCTTTCTGAAACAATACATTCCAAAAACTTATTGGAAATTTTGTGTTTTGCTGTACTACTTTTCCAACAGATGTCTCAATAATTAAGTCCCCCTTTATTACCAGATCTTGTGTTTTGGATATTTCTGCTATTTGTGCTAGAAATGACTCATCTACCACCTCTACTCCATCAGTATAGGTTATGGATTGCAGCAATTATACAATCAAGTCTTATCTTACTTGTTTTTACATTAATTCCTCTCACTTCATCTTTCTTTCAATAGTTCAGCTGTTAACTTAAAGCATACAGTAGATCTTTGCTTTATTCTAAATTTGTGTGAATCATTTCTATATCCTGGGTTTATTTGGTTACCATAGTAATGAAAGAATTGTTGTTTTTTTGCAATTAAAACATTGATTCACACGAACAAAAGGACTGGAGACCACTTAAACTAGATGTATGACAAACTGATAGCTACCTAAGAAGTCAACAGCCTTTACAAAATTACTGAAAAGACTAAAGCTTAATATAAGCAGGCAAAGCATCAAATGATATGCAATTTTAAATTATTTTGATAAGAGGCAGATTACTTCATGACCATACAGCAAAATGAGAAGGCATATATGTAAATGCGGGAAATGTCAGCAGTTATGTATTTGACTGATTCAAATGCCCAAATCAAATTCCATATACACAGTGCATATAATTAAGCAAAGTCTATACGCCACTCTGCATAATAAAGTTTTAGGAATGCAGCTAGTCATTATTTCCATCAAATCAGTTTTCCACAGACAAATTTTTCCTTGCAAGAAAAAAATAAAATAGTTCCTTATATGCTACAATTATGTCTAAATATGTTCCAAAATTCCAAATAAAAAAAACACAAGAGGTAAAAAAGATCAATAATTTAAAAGGCCCAATCATTTGTGACTATTTGCTTCCTGACTATTTCTACCACTGAACCTAATCAAAACATGCAACCACATTTTTTTCTGGCCTATCACTTTTGTACATGCCCAATTGAAAATCTGGTTTCATATGGCCAATTTCAATCTGTAGCAATGTATTTAAACTCAGTTATAAACAGAGAATACTGATTTTTAACAGGAATGCTAACAGACCCTTACTAAAGCGGTGTAAGTGATCACCACTGTAAAGCCTTTCTTTAAAGTGAATATAGTATATTCTTCAGATGAGCATTGAGATGAAAATGATTATAACATTTATTATTTGAAACCATAACATACTGTATGTTATTAGCTTTCTCTTTGGATGCACAACTCCATTCTGTCAACACAAATACTAAATTAGAAAAAAGAAAAAATGTCAATCCTTTTTGATTTAATTTAATTTTCACAATTAACTCTTATCTCCATAAACCTGCATGTACATATGTACTGTTTTACCTACAGAGTCAACTAAGCTTAATGTTCTACAAAAGAAAGAATTTGTTTTGATCAACAATTATTACTTAAAAATTAAAAGCAAACACTCAGAACAAAGGGGGCAGGGCTTATCAGCCAACAAAATGAGACAGTTCAGCGTGGAGTTCAGCTTTGTCAGTGGGTGTGTTTCCAGTTTTCTGTTTGTTTTTTGGAACAGTTAAGTCTGAAAAGAGGATCAAGGAGAACTCTAGCCCTACCATGGTGCTTCTTTAACACGATGGACTAAACCAGCGTAGCCTAGATGCTACCAGTTGATTTTTAAGAGGAAGGAGAGGAGGAATCAAGTAACTTGAGACCCTACATTTTTCAAAGAAGGAAAAATGGAGGCAAAGGGCAGGGCAGAGATTGGTCCATGACTATTTTCATAGGTTGGGAGCAGGAAGAGGAGCAAAGCACAAAGCCAGAGCTCTTTTAAGAGGAGTGGGGAGATAAGGTACAGTTGGGGAGCCTTCTGTGCATCAGGGACAGCAACAAAGGAGATGGGGCCCAATATAAATTTGCTTATTGGGTGCATGGGGCCAATTAAGTTATTTAAGGAAGAGGAAGGACATCTGAAAGTTTCGAAGAATGACTTAAAAATGGGAGGAATAGGGGCAGTAAACTGGTTCATGTAAATTCCAGGACAGAGAATGATACCAAGTAATGAAAAAAGAAGAATGCTAACTCAGCAGTTTAAGATGTGTTCATTATATCTGTGTAGCACCATGAATTTTTTCTATTATAATATAATTGAAGTTCATAATAAAGGTTTGAAGATTAGTTTTTTTAGGATGTGTGTAAAGATATCAATATTTCATTCACATTGCAAGTTGTAAGTCACAGTTATTGTTACTCATATCAGCAGTTTTAATTCATTAAGGCTTGGACTGATTATAAAAATTCTCTGAAGTGAATAACTATGATGAAGCCTATTAACTTACTGCAATTAACTAATGACAACCAGGATCAAACACCACCTCTTTGTGTTTAAAATAAACCTTCAGCTATTTGGAGTGACCCTTAGTGTGCTTCAGAGCGTTGAGTTAGTGACTTTTCAGAGGGAGGAGAAAGTTGTCAGATGGCACCAGATTTTATATATAAAAAGGCAATTTCTTTTTTAAATACTTATGTGCAAATCTTGCCTGTGCCTCCATAGCTTCAGTCCTTTTTGGAAGCTGCACCAATGTGCAAAAGGGAGGGAAGACAAAATATAGGAGTAGAGTCAAGGATCTTTCTTAGAATCACAGAACCATAGGGTTAAAAGTGACCGCAAGGGTCATCTAGTCTAACCCCCTGCCAAGATGAAGGATTTGTTTTGTCTAAACCATCCAAGACAGATTGCTATCGAGCCTCTTTGGAAAACCTCCAGTGAAAGAGCTTCCACAACCTCCCTAGGCAGTCTGTTCCATTGTCCAACTGTTCTTACAGTTGGAAAGTTTTTCCTGAAATTTAATCTAAATCTGCTATGCTGTTGTTTGAACCAACTGCCTCTTGCCCTGCCCTCTCTGGTGAGAGAGAATAACTTTTCTCCATCTTTTTTATGGCAGCCTTTCCAGCATTTGAAGACTGCTATAATCTCCCCTCTTAATCTCCTCTTTCCAAACTAAACATGGACCAGTTCCTTCAGCCTTTGCTCATTTGGCTTGCATTCCATCCCTTTGATCATCTTGGTCGCTCGCCTCTGGATCCTTTCCTGTTTCTCTACATCTCTTCTATACATGGGTGACCAAAAATGGACACAATATTCCTATTGAGGCCTAACCAGAGCCAAGTAGACCGGTACTATCGCCTCCCATGGTGATTTGCATGCTATGCCTCTGTTAGTGCAACCCAAAATTGCATTTGCTTTTTTTTTTTTTTTTTTGGCAACAGCATTGCATTGCTGACTCAGGTTGAGGTTGTGATCCACCACAACTCTCAGAACCTTCTCAGCAGTGCTGCTGCCAATCTAGTTATCCGCCATTCTTTATCTGTGCATTTGGTTTTTCTTCCTTAAGTGTAGCACCTTTGTCTTTGTTAAATTTCATTTTGTTGCCTATAGCCCATTTCTCCAAGTTATCAAGATCCCTTTGAGTTTTGGCTCGATCTTCCAAAGTGTTGGCAATTCCCCCTAGCCTTGTCTCATCCATGAATTTGATCAGTATGCTTTCTATTCCTACATCCAGTTCATTAACAAAGCTGTTAAACAACACCGGACCCAGCAAAGATCCCTATGGAACTCCACTTGAGACCTCCCTCCAACCAGACATCATTCCATTAATCAGAGACCTCTACCAACTAAGCTAATGGAGTAACTAATAGCAATAATATGTTATCTTCCTCTATGTCAACTAGTCATTACTGAGGGAATGACACACACTTAGTCACCAGGTTAAAGTACCTTGCTGAACTGGGGCAAATATCTGCAAGGGGATAGGTTTGGAAAGTAAAGTTTACATACACTTGATAAAAGATGTTAGCACGTTTAATGTTTCAGGAGAAAAATTCTCACTGACTTTTTATTCGGAAGAGTATTTTATTTTACTAAGACTATTTATGTACTATATATAGATGGTCTCAGTGTATTAGGATTGTTATCTATTTGCAAATAGTCTTTTGAATGCTGATGTTTAAGGCCAATTTAAATCTAGTCAATTTCTAAGACTAAGTTAAGAGCAGTTTCAGGTATACTCCTGTTTCATATTCTCCTCCTCCTCATTATTTGTTGTTTTATAATGTTTTCCTATTATTTAAGAAATGCTTCTCTTTCTCCTCTCTGTGTACGAAACCCACAAACAAAAGGGGAAACTGGGTATATATCAAATGCTGTCCAAATGCAAATAAACAATATTTTTCTCTAATTCCTTTCAGTTAGAAGTATTCATTATGAGAATAGCAAGCAGCACATTTTAAACAGTAGTACAATATTAAAGTTTGACTTTAATGGTTTGGTTTAATGGTTTGCCTTTCATGAACTCTTCATTTTTATTACCTTTGTTCTTACAGGGAAAAGATGACATGATTGTTTCTCCTGACTCTAACATACAGCTGGAACTGCAGAGAGATGAGAGTGTACCTAAAGTACCACCAACCAAAGATACAGGTAAGTTATAGAAGTGTTACAATATTAAGCTTCCTAAAAGAAAATATTTCACATGAAAAAAAATAAGAGTTTAGTAAAGGAAAACTGCATATAGCACTCATCTTTTCATTCATAAACAAGGTTTTCATGAGCTCAGTGGGATTTCTGCTAACTCCAGTGTGAAAATTTTAAAGAAGCTCCAGATACATTCTGAATACATGCAGCCCAGTTTATCTGATGCTCCTATCACATCCTCTAGGCAAACACACATATTGAATGGTCAAATGAAAGCATAATAAAGCTAACAATATGAACTAGACAATCAGGCAAAAATAAGGTAACTAATTCGTGTTGAAGTGAAACGTGCTCACCGCAGCTTGTATGAGGGGAGTCTTTTGCCGGCTGGCCAGACATAAAGAGATATTACCCTTTAAGGACTCTCTCTCAACAATAGGTAAGGGGAACAGGGACAGGTCAGTGGAGGGGTCACTGCCCTTTCTGCAGACTGGAATGTAAGGAGGGTGTTAGGAACCCACACACCCACAGAGAAGCTGTCTTTAACCTGGATCAGGCTGGCAGCTCCCACTCACCACCCATAACATTTGCAAAATAATTGGATTTCTATACGGCCGGCTGTAGGCATTACTGTAGTCGCCCTTTTTGGAAAGGTATTTTTCCCTCACCACCAGATTGTCCAAGACAGGGTGGGGTGATTTTTTTTGCCTTCCTCCCAGTATGTCTGGGACTCAGTAGGGTGTGTGTGTTTGAGTTTGGGGGTGGGGATTAGGTTATAATGTCACAACTTCATAAGTAATAATTGTGCCAGATATCCAGCGTAGATAACTGTTATGGAACAGATACAGTTATCAGATAAAATGGACTGGCAAAGGATTTGAAAGAAAGGATCCCTTACGGACCTGTGTAAGAGGGAGCGTTGGGACTCCTACATCTGGAACAGCAGGTAGCCAATACCTCTCCTTTTCTAGCCCCACAACAGGATGGTTGGGACCAGATTGTGGATTATGTGGAAGTGATTAAGGAAATAATCATGACCTGAATTATACAATTTATTGCAGGGTTCTTTCAGCTATCTTCAGTGAATAAAATTGCAGTCTAATTACACCACATCCATTTCCTGCTGTCTATTTTATGGCATGACTAGACAACGGGTGAAGTGAAAAAGTAGAGAGACTTCTATGGAGAGCTATCTGCTCTCAGCACTTCAACTTCAGAGAGGAGCAGACTATGTCTGTACTGTAGCTAGACAGAGCTTAACTTGACAGAGTTTATACGTTACAATCAATACCTTGAAATGCATCCAGAAATTAAGTAGAATCCAAATTAATTTGGCACAATACACTCCACAAAAGGATCACCGTTAAGGTTTCCGCAGCTACATTCTCCATTAGCTCAAGTTTCCCAGTAGTTTTCAAGTGTATCCCCACAAATAGCTTTTCTGTAATTAACCATGATGTGATCCACATGTGAAAGGAAAAAATAAATACAATAAAAAATAATAAAAACCCCACCTCCCTAAAAACACAAATAACCCCGCCCCCAACTCCTTGCCAAAAATAAAATAAATTAAATGAACCACTCTTGGGTACGACTTCTATCTAGAAATCACGATCAAACAATGATTTAACAAGACCCTCAAGTTGCAAATCTATAAAAATCTTTTAATCAAGGAATAATTATAGCCTCCACCATCTATAGACATTTCCCCAGCCAACCAACATTCTCTGAAATGAATCATCTGCCAATTAGTTCTCATCCAACAGTGAGCAAAGCTAGGAGTACACCCTCCAGCTCCAATGAAAGAGTCATGCACTGCTTCTCCAACCACTACACTATTTCCTGTATTCACATACAAAATGAGCAAAAGGAGTCTAAGGGTAGAAATCTGAAATCACAGGCAAAAGACTGAATGCAAGGCTAATGAATGGGGTCCAGTATTAACCTCAGGAACCTTTCAATGGAAAGAAATAACTGAAGACTTACCAATTCTCAGCTTGCCCATACCTACCAGCCATTTCATCAGGACTTCATTAGTTATGAGTATCAAAAACTGCCAATTGATCTAGAAGGAACTTCTTTGTTAGGTGGACAGCAAAAAGACAAGTACCACCTATGCACCAGATGCAGATATATGTAGAAGATGACTAAAAGTTTCAATACCACAAAGAGTTAGAGATTAGAACTAACAAAAGTTGTAGCACAATTGAATTCAAAGCTGCAACTTTGAGGCAAGGCCTGAATATTCCATGATTTCATGAATGTGCAATTTGCCTTAGCATCCTTTGCTACAGAATTGTGCTCGAGAATCCAAATATTCTCCTGTTCTTATACATGTCTCTTTCCAGCCTTGAAAACGCAAAACTAGAAATTGATAGTTTTCATCTTGAGAATATCTGAAATGAAAGGTCAAAGGCACAAACTGCCCCATTATAGCAAATGAGTTTTCTGAAGCCTAAAGATAAAGTCAACATCAACATTAAGTATTTCACTGCTAATTAATTTAGCAGACACAACCAGTAAATGGACATTTCCCTCATTTCCCAAAATGTCTCCCAATGAGCCAAAAGCGCCAAGTATTTCCCTACTCAACAAAATCTTCAACTTTACCTATACAAACTTCTAAAATGCACTTATGTTAATATAAAAATCTTTGGCACAATGTAAATTAAAACAGCAGTGACAATGTAAATACAATTAATAAAGTCCTAGGATATTAAATTCACTTTTTTCATTTAATAAATTAATTCATTACCTATATTTTTTGATGTAAATCAAACTGGCCAGCAATTTCTAATCTGCCACAGGATCCAAGACTCTTGAAGTATTTATGTACAGCTTGTACAGAGCACATAGGCCATGCTCATAAGATGTAGGGTGATTTATGGTCTCACTCTTTGACTGGTTCACATGGAAGCTTTTGCTTTTCTAAGATTTTTTTTTCTAACATAAGTTCAACTTTGAAAGCAATCATTTTTAAGGAAGGCGAGTGACATTACAATCAATTATACTGAATGCTTACACAGCTGTAATGATTGCAAACCAATTCAATAACATAGCTGAGTAACTCTGAAAAATGGTGCTTCAGGAACAGATTAGAAAAAGGAAGCTAGAATGTGTAAGTAGAAAAGTGCAATTCTCAATACAAGGAATGTTTTTTCTAAGAGAAAGGATTTGATGACCATGACATCTTTTTTGACCATACTACCTTGAGAACAAATATATAAAATCCTGAAAGACGACAAACCTTAACTCAGTGAAATTCTATGTTTTGTATTAAAGATTGTCAATCTTTTAGCTTTCTACTGATACAAGAAAATCAAATTCTTTTTTTGCAGATTTGGCCACTTGTCTGCTGTGTGTGTGTTTAAGTGGATCGGTATACTGTGAAGAAATTGATATTGTTGCTATTCCCCCTCTGCCAAAGGAAACAGCCTACCTTTATGCACGATTCAACAAAATAAAGAGAGTGGCAGTCTCAGATTTTGCTGATATTCGTAAGTATATTTAGACTTCAATCTTTTTGATTAGGTGATATGTGCTTATAGTTTAAAGTTAAATTCTTCCTTGCATATGGAATGGGGGGAGGGTGTCAATACCAAAACAAGATACATTTCATATTCATTGCATTAATATGTATTATATATAACACACTACTATTAGAAAAGAATTGTAAAAGCAAATCTGAAAACCTAGCTAAGCCTAATCTATGGCTGGCGGGGGAGCGAGGGGAACATAGTTGAATGTATAAGACAAAGCTCCCAGTCCAGATAATATCAGGATGTCTGGTTACCCTAATTCACAAATACCACGAACCACATATTTCAGAGTAACAGCCGTGTTAGTCTGCATCCGATGAAGTGAGCTGTAGCTCACGAAAGCTTATGCTCAAATAAATTGGTTAGTCTCTAAGGTGCCACAAGTACTCCTTTTCTTTTTATGAACCACATAAGTAGTGTTGTGTCTCAATCTGGGCTGTCTTAAAGGAACCATAAAGTATCACGAGGAATTCAGAGAGGCAAAGAAAATATACACTTTTATTTGTTTAAACCTTTTTCTGTGCTGATTGCCCCACTCTCCCTAACTAATTAGTAGGGACATACAGCAGAGAAACCTGGTCTTAACTAAAGTTAAGCATGTCACCGTTAATGCAATGCTAAGTGTTTAAATTAAATACCAAGCTCTCAAAAGTAAAGAAATTCTACAAGTTAAGATTTCTCTTACACTGTCAAGTCAATCTCTTTGTTCATATGCAGTATTATCTATTCTCCCCTTTGTTGAAAGTGACTTTAAAAGCATTTGTCTTAAGAACTGGGCTTGGTCCTTTTTGTGATTCTTCTGGAAATATGAAGAAGGCCTGGAAAGTTTATTTTACTTAATTTTTTTTATGCTTATCTTTTACCGTAGAAATTCAAGTATGTTCTTGGCTGAAAGACATAATGACTATATAACTTAGGTGACAGTACTAAGGCCAACAGTGTAGAGAGAAAAGAGAGGGGATTTTGTCAGACTTTAAAGACTGCTTTTGTTTCTACTTACCTATTTAACTTCAATGACTAATTAACATTTGGAAGGACATCTTTGTTGTAAATTCACATGCCTTTTTACTTATATTCACCCTATCAGGGGATAGAATAAACCTCTTGGAATCTGTGTGTTCAATTAAAGTGAACATACACATCAAGGGGACTGAATTAACGTTACACAGGCAGCTACTATTATGGCATTTCCAAATTTTGAGTGTTTAACTTGGCAACCTTATTATTCTTTTAACAGTTTTCTTCAATGTAATTTCCTTATTTTTTAAAACAAACAGAAAAAATAGAAACTACATCAAGTGGCACCCTCCTGACCCCCCACATAGGTGGTCATCTGGAACAGGACCCTTAGATCCACAACACAGATCTCTATCACTTGAGATAACAAGTAACCAATAACAGTAGTAGGCTTTTATTCTCTGTGTGGATCAGCCACTAATTGTTAGCCTCTTTACAAACCTTGAGTGAATGTGTGTGAACTGAGAGTTTTTCAGATGCTCATATCTTGACCACATTTGGGTGGATTTCCACAGGGACAGGAGAGACATCCCTAAAACCCGGGCAACTTCTGTGGCAAATTTCAAGTTCCCCTCTAAAGGATGGAGGCACTAGAGCAGGGGTTCTCAAACTGGGGGTCAGGACCCCTCAGGGGTTGCAAGGTTATTATATGGGGGGGGGTCACAAGCTGTCAGCCTCCAACCCAAACCCTACTTTGCATCCAGCATTTATAATGGTGTTAAATATATAAAAAAATGTTTTTAATTTATGAGGGGGAGTCACACTCAGAGGCTTCCTATGTGAACGGGGTCACCAGTACAAAAAGTTTGAGAACTACTGCACTAGAGCTTCTCAATGAAATGGTTAGATTTACATAATTTTAACTGGGCAAAACTACTTATTTTTCCATAGCCTGGCTCTTGGCAGTGGCTGAACTGTTTGTTTTGTTTTGTGTTTTTCAGCCTAAGGCATTTGTGGAGAATTTTAGCCCAAACAATTAAAGTTTGAGAAAGTTATAAGAAACTGAAAACAGGGACTTATGACGCAAAGGGTTAGGCAATCATATTTATAAGCATTTCTACCAGAGCCACTTATAATAGGAGTATATTATGGTTTACTGCATTTTACATACCATGAAAAATAAATTTTTTTTGTTTCCTTTATATAAAGCTACGTTAAGAAGAATTAATTTAAGTGGAAATAGGATAGAAGAAATTGAAGATGGTGCCTTTTCAAAGCTTCTGTTATTAGAAGAACTTTCACTTGCTGAAAATAAACTGATAAGACTTCCAGTTCTGCCCCCCAAACTAATTACATTTAATGCAAACTACAACAGGATTAAGAGTAGAGGTATCAGAGCAAATGCTTTCAAGGTAAGTAACAGGTTATAAAAATTGGAGTAATTTACATAAACTTAGATAAATAACCATTATCATAGATGTAGTGTTTGTTAAATATTTGTAAACTTTACTGTAAGACTCTGAGCACAGGTATAGGAGGTTTTTCAGATTTTTAAAACAGCATGCTTTTTATTTAAGGTATATGGAACAACAGCAATGCTCTGCTAATTATGCAAACATTAGTTTCATTTTAAGTCCAATTTTGCCCCTCCTCACTTCTAAAATCAACATAAAAAAAAAGTACATTTGGCCTCCAAATTGGTAGGTCAGATCAGGGGCCAAGGCAGAATTTCAATTTTTTTTTTAACACACTAGGAAGTGAATTGGACAGGAGCTCCTGAAATAAGACACTCTTAAAAGAGTTTTTATCCTAAAAGATTTGAGGAGGACCAACAACCTCTCCAAGCCTTGTGGTACTTCCAGAGGAAATGTCCTTCCTGAAGACCTCAGATCTACAGGAGGAAAATGACACCCTGGTCTCCCACAGCTACCTGTATTCTTATTCAGTACCTCCCTCCTCCAGCATTATAGATGTGAGTTCTGTAAGAAGAGGGCTTTGGAAGAAAATCTGATTATCTGCAAGAGAGAACAATTTTCCCCTACCCACATGACTCAGGAGGCCTGTTAAATCTTAAATGAGCTTCCATTGGTTCACCCCAGGCCTGAATAGCTTATTATGGTTTGTCTGGGACTAAGAAAACTACTAATGCTGGGAATTCTGAGGATCTGAGGAGTATCCTAAGAGTCTGTGAAATGCAGGTAGGAGAAGTGAGAACATGGAGCTAAGCATCTTCAGGTTTACTAACAATTCCAATAAGGCTCTTAGTGAAAAATACTTGTAGCCTTAACTTCACCTTAAAGTTTTTGTATGGAAATAGTTCTGTAGCTATGGAGAGCTATTACATTGTTACATAATAAGCTGTGATTACATAACTAAACTCAACAGGGCTTGATTTGATTCTAATTGTGAATTTGTATGTCAGGTTGTTGGCACAGCAACCCAGAAAAACATGATATATGGCAAAAAGAGATTACTCAAAATAGAAGAGTCAGTGAAAGCACCATGACACCGGCTCACCCCAGTAATGATCCAAAATTCTTCACCGCAAGAAGGACATAGCCCACTTTGGTATTCAGCTATAAGTATGGTTCTGGAAAGTGGGGGAAAACATTAACAGAGCAACAACCAACAATAATAACAAATCATTACAATCACAATGTGAAGCAATATTAATTGGTTTAATTCCCAAGGAAGGTTAATACTAGAGGATATTTTAGTCACAGCCACATTCAAACACTCTTAAATAAAGCTATGGCATTAAAGCTTGAAATTTAAGAGAACTTGTTTTATTAAACTTTTCAATCTCTCAAAAATGTAACAAATCCTGTTCAAGCAATTTCTTAGTATGTTACAGCAGTGGTCCTCAACCACGGGTACACGTACCCCGGGGGAACACAGAGGTCTTCCAAGGTGGTACATCAACTCATCTAGATATTTGCCTAGTTTTACAACAGGCTACATAAAAAGCACTAGCTAAGCAAGTACAAACTAAAATTTCATACAGACAATGACTTGTTTATACTGCTCTACATACTATACACTGAAATGTAAGTACAATATTTATATTCAAATTGACTTATTTTATAGTTATATGGTACAATTGAGAAAGTAAGCAATTTTTCAGTAATAGTTTGCTGTGACACTTGTATTTTTATGTCTGATTTTGTTAGCAAGTAGTTTTGAAGTGAGGTGTACCTTGGGTACACAAGACAAATAAGACTCCTGAAAGGGGTACAGTGCTCTGGAAAGTTAAGACCACTGTGTTAGCGTATTACATACAGTACTTCGAACAAAAGAACATTCATATGGGATGTCTTTATGGACATATAATTAGCCAAGGTATGTATTCAGAAGAAAAATGCTGATACCTATTGTTAGACAGGCATGTGAGGTGGGTGGATTCCCTGGCTCTGCCCCCCGCCACAGTTGGAACCCCCCCCCGTGCTTCCCCCGCACCCAGAACCCTGCGCTACCCCCTGGTCGGAGGAGCTCAAGGCCAGCCGAAGTCCTGAGCTTCCCCCGCCTGCCCGCTACGCCTTCCCTCCCCATACCCGAAGCTGCCCCAGGGAAAAGCGTCTCATCCGGAAGAAGCTTTTGATATCCCCCATGCAGGATCCAGGGCGGTATGTGCTACTCAGCTTCCTGGGTTCAGCAGTAATCTCTCTGGAGTCGGGAGAGATTATCGATGAACCCAGGAAGCCGAATACCACACACTGCCTCCTCAGCCACCCAGGAACCTGCACGGGGTATAATATAGCAAAAACTTCTCCTGCCAAACCCCACAACCGGGGGTCCAGCAGCAGCACCGGGGTGGCTGAGTCTCACCTGGCCTTTTATACCTGCTGCCCATGTAGACAGGCACAGGAGGAACTGAACTACTGACAGTGTAATCAAGGAAAATCAACACTAATTTTTTTTTCTCCTCTTTTCTACAGAAACAGACCAATTTGTCATATCTCTATCTCGCACATAATACACTGGAATCTGTACCTCTTAACTTACCAGAGAGTCTGCGTGTTCTGCACCTTCAGGTCTCAAAGTATTTTTTTGATATTGTAGGGCACAGATAATGATTTAGCTAAAATAAGACCACTCTTGCTTTCTTTCATTATTTGTTTTCAATTTGGCTCACACTGTTGTGTTACCATCGTCCAAAAACATTCCACTGAAAACTAAACATTAGTACAGACATGCACCTAACTATACTTAGCACCATAGCACATGTGCTCATCCTATCTCTGAAACATTAAAAAAGCAATAAAGTAGTTGAGACTTCAAATAATTCTTCAGAATAAAGTAAAATAGAAGGTCTCCTAGCCACTAAAGCTGTTTGGTGGCTGATTGTAACTGCAATACTGGAATTTGTCACTACTTTGTCTATAAACACTGTTGATTTCTCTATTTCAAGGGCAGTCCCCGGCCACAATGAGCAATAGAATAACCCTTTGTCAACAAAAAGTACTAGATTTCAGTACCAATGTAAAATTACTGCTTAATAACTGCACCCATAAAATAAACCCTTTATAAGACTTAAAAACAAACAAACTTAAGATTCAAACAAAAAACAATAAAATAAAAAACCAAGAAAAGGAGAGACAATTAATTATTTGTAAGATTCAGATACTTTCATCTAGGTTTTGATGCTGAAACATTTTCAAACTATCCTTGTTTTGTTTTGCAGTTTAACAACATAACCTCAGTCACAGATGACACGTTCTGCAAATCCAACAACACACGTTATATCCGTTCACGTATGGATGAGATAAGAATGGAAGGCAACCCAGTCATCTTGGCAAAGCATCCTAATGCTTTCTCTTGCTTGAAAACACTGCCTGTAGGAACATATTAACAACCACTATCTATTAATTATACATGCTAAAAACTTAAGTATGGTAACATATGATCATTCCTGTTCCTTTTTTAAATGACTATCCTTTCCCTTGCTAATTATGTTTTTCTATATACCTAATGAACTTTTAATCACGTTAAAAATGTGGTTCTAGTCTGAAAAATCACCGTGTAAAAACAGCATCTGCTCACTTGACAGACCCAATACTACTTGTACTTTCAGATTCATGTAGGTTTATGACAGTGTCAAAAGTATGGGCTTAAACCTGCAACACTTACTTCTGCAAGTATCCTTTACTCATAGATATCATTCCTTTAGCTTCAGTGGTTTAATTGCAATACTCATATGAATAAGGATTGCAGGATCAGGCTTTAAGTTTGAACTACTATATTCATACTAACACTGCAAAGCAAACACAGCTGTGAGAATGTTATTCTGGCTTGCACATCAGCAGAATTGTTAATTAAGTTCCAAGAGACAGCCACCCGCGGCACCTCAATTGCACGTTGGAAGCAATGGGGTTGCACTGGTGTAACTACAACCAGAATCTGGCTCAAATCATTTTAATTACTGATTAAAATCCATGACCTGTAAAAAGCACAGATTCACTCTAATTCTTTGTCTTGATCAGGAAAACCACTGAGTTTAGATCAGGCTTCGAGCAGGTGAACTTTGTTTTTCCTTTTGGTAAACCAAGAAAGTTTCAACTGGAACTCACTAAGAAAAAATAAAGATGGACTTGTACAATGTCACTTTTTAGAATAGAAGCCATAGTTCAATTACTGGAAAAATGTAAAAAAGAGACACAGAAAACTTTTTAAAATGCTTAGGAATAAAATGCAAAGTTGGTTCTATCTTAAACTGTAAAACAGTATAAAAACCTAATACAATTATATTACCAACATGGTTTTATCCTTTTAGCATTTTTCAGATACAAGGAATACAAAGGGACATAGTCTCATATTAATGCTGGGGGCTTTTGACTGACAGTTCAGATTAAAATAAAGATAACTACACCCTAAAGATATTGATTCTGACTTAACACAAATACACAATTTCAGATTTCTTTTTTTTTTCTGTTTTTGTTTGTTTGTTTCAATAGGAATTTGCACAGTCCTCATTTGGCCCAGCAGCTTCATAAATACAAATGTACAAAAAAACCTAATCACTAATACTAGACTTATTTTTTCTGGACAAGTGATATATAAAAGGAGCTTGCTGAAATACAAAAAGTTCTCAACTTTATATACAAATAATAAAATAGTAGCTATTTAAATTTCAAATACATAATGGTGTTTCACTTCGGAATCACTGTTTTTCCTTACTAATACGAAGTCAGTTTACAGTAACAACTTTTTTTTAAATCTCCAACCTAAGTAAACAATAATATGACAGTGCTTGCATTATGGGCTATTATAACCTGCTCAACTAATATAGTTGAATTGAATATTGTTATGTGCTCATTAAAAGCCTGAGGTACTGTTGCTATTTGTTTGGCTGGTTTTAATTTTCTTGGAGAAGAAAGTGATTATTTTATTATAATTATTTAAAAAATAAAAATAAGCCAGAAGATATTTTTAATCTTGAATCCATAATTAAGAAAAATCACAATCACACTTGCGCCAGTATTGTTTCATTTTTATTTCTTTTAAATCCCCTGACATTTTGAAAACTAAATCTATCACTCTTGTTGGGGTTGATGAATTAACTAGCAGCTAGAACACTTGATTTTCATTTTCCATTTAAAAAAATTACTCCGAGTCATGAAACTCATATGCTTTAAAGTTTTTAATAAAACATAAAAGAAAAACAGCCACCCCACAGCAGCCACGATTATATTCCAAGTCCAAGCCAAGCTGATGCTAAAAGGAAAAAAGAAAAACATTTCTTTGTCCTAGTAGTGGCCAATGTATAACAATAGCCAGTATAAGAGTAATAATATTGCATATGTAGCAGGCCCACTATATCTTCATCTCATTCCAAACCTTGATTAGTAGAGAAAGCTCTTTCCATACATAAATAGGATCAAATAACAATGATTGCTTTCCTATGAGAAAATAGGTTTTTATACATATTAGAAAATCTGGAGAACAATCTCTTTGAGATTACAACATTCTTATGTTAAGTTAAATTTTGGAACTGTAATGTTTGACAGTGTCACTTTAAAACAACTGCATCTGCATATTTATGTTATTCATTTATTCACATGCTATAAACTCACTGGGAAGCCAACCAAGTATACTGCTCTTTACTTTCTTGTGATAATTATTGATTGCTTGCTTTAAAATCAGACACTGACTACATAACTATCATTGCATTGTCAGTTTAATATTTTACTGCAATCAGTTCTTATATCACTTAGTTTTAAATACAGTCTTATCAACTACATAACATCCATGTATAGTATACATTTTATGTGTACAAAATTCAAACAAGCTTGATCTTCCAGTCTAATAATATGAAATCATTATGGCTCTTAAACAGAAAGTTCTATAAATGAGCAACTAACAAAAACCACCTGTGACTGCTTCAAACCCCAAAGGAAATATTTGTATGGAGACTATCACATATTTGCGGCATTTACTAAAAACAAACTGGTTCCTTGTGGCAACCTAAGAAGCTGACTGTTCCAAATTCCTTATCAGACATTTGAAACAAATAAAAAACTGCCCTCCAAACCACTGTTTTAATGTCTCCCAATTACTAATATTTTATTGCCCTCCAGCAAATCATCAAAACAAAAACCTCATCTTCAGAGTGGTTCCTCATATGACAATAAAACACAGAATAAGCAACACTATCATTATTTCCAAATGTGAACCTATAACAAAAGGCTTCAGTGTGATACTGTGCAAAGTCATTTGGTCATTACATGCGTACAAAATCTAATACAACAGACAAAATGGTGATGCTCTATCTAGGCCCATAGATTAAGATGTCTATTGTAAACTGAATATCCATCTTTATTTTTAGTGTAGGTGTATCCTTTTTTATTTTCAGTATGAACAGTACTATTTTAACCACTGCTTGCCTACCCTTTTGTGCATTAATAATAAAGCAAAAAAATATACCTTAGCAGGCAAGTTATCATTTTTTCTGTTGATTGTTTGTGATGCCATTGAACTGCTTGCTGTCTCTCCTATATCAGAAAACATCACTTATAAGTCTGGTAAAATTATCACAATGTTGTCAAGAACAAGTGGTCCTCTAAGTCTCTTAACAGGTCTATACTCATTAATCATGCTTGGTAAAGTTAAAAGGGTCCCCCAAAAGTATGTTTTTCTTCATCCTCTTCTAATAATTTTTTTCATAGAAAGGAAAGTAACTTTAGAATCATTACATTTGTCATATTGATGGACAAAGAGTGTTCCATTTGTTGTCTTTACTACTTATTAGTTAACATTAATATTGTGCATCATAAACTCCAAGAATTGAAGCAAGAAAATCTTTTCTGTCCTTTATTTTCCAAGATGTTCATTAATAAAGTCTTTTGCATGTAATATTCAGGGACTTAGAGAAGTGAAAATGGCTTTCAAAAGGATTAAGATCTGAGGTAGTATCTTAGTGAGATGTCAGGGTTTTAATATGTATATTTACCAGGCTTCTAAATGAACCATATGCCTAAATATGAAAACTACAAAAACCTTTTAATGAATACATTTTTGGTCAAAAAAAAGTATTTCTTCATATTCTGCTAATTCATTTGAACAAAATGGGTCAAATTAATCTGTGATGTAACTCTACTGAAGTCAATGATTTATACCAGATATGAAATTGGCTTACTAGGTCTGTCTTATCAGTTTCTCTTAATTTTCCATTTTAAAACTAATCTTTAATGAAAATATTCTTTCAAGCAGAATTGTATGTTTTGGAAAAATATAAGGGTTAATTCACAAGGAAATTAATAATTATTTTGAAAGCTAGCTCCAAAAGGAATTGTAGGACCAACATTTCCATATGAACTTTGGATTTTTCATACAAGAGGCATGCTTTTTTTGTGTCTTTCTAGGCATAATGGAAAAAAAAAATCTTACTTTCAGATGACAATATGTTCAATAGCTCAAAAATCTTTTTGTGTAAAGGGCCACAATCAACTTATGTCATAACGCTTAACATTAAAAAATTGCAAATTAACAAAAAACCAAAAACAAAACACGCAAAAACAATTGTGTTCTCTTTGTGTTTGACAGCACTTTGTCAACAGTTAGTTTCACTATTTCCATGCATAAACATTTAGTAATGACATAACTGATTATGAGAAGTCCCTTAAAATATCAGTGTAACAGAAATAGACGGGAAAAAAAGCAAGTTACATTGTGCAAAGTCCCTTGTCAGATAACAGAATTGTTATAGGCAATTTTAAAATACATCAAGTTGACAGTATCTCTTTAAATGTTAAGTTTGAAGCTTTAAAAATGATCAACTTAAAATAAGAATGCATGTAGCTCTATCATTATTCAGTTACAAAACATGGGAAGAGAAAAAGATCACTTTTGCCGGTGTTTTTAAAAGAGTTGTTTCTTAAAACAAGCATAATAAGTTGCAATTATTTTCAAGCCTGCCCCCTTTTTAACTTCAAAATGGATTTTAGAATGAGTGACATTTACTGTAGAAAGTTACTATATTCGTGTAGTTTACATACTTAATGGCTGCTATCATGGAATTTACACACATGAACTAAGGACCAATAAAGCATCATTGCAGCTCCTAGCATCAGTGATCCATATGCCCTCATGTCTTCCCCTACTTCCTTCCTTCTGCTTCTTCATATAAGACCCCATTGAGGAACAGGAATAACTGTGTGTACAGTGATCCTAGGGATTAGAGCACTTCAGGGTTGCATGATCACTCAGTTGCTAGATCAGCTAGTGATGGCAAAGATTTATTTTTCATATCATAAAAGATATTACTCTTTACCCAGCACATTCTTGCTCTAGGACACAGTTAGGAAATCTCCCTATGCATCAGAAAATAATTGGGTTACAGATCATCTCCATTGTTACATTACAACTGAAAACAGAAAAGGGTACAGTATTTCATGGTGGACAGTAGATATCTGAGCATGATAAAATTACCTCAACATCACCAGGAGCAAATGGCCCACCATGCTAGTATGTCCAGTATCACTCTTGCACTGTACCTCTGAGCATACCTCGGAAGGGTTCTGCACTAGCTGGTGTTAGGGGGCTTATTCCTTCACCCACTTACTTCCCTGGTCCTTCTCGCATGAACAGAGAGCAACAATACCCGAAGTCCAAAGGTGCAAACAATTCGATGTTTATTGGGGTGAACTTCCAGCAAGCATGATTCCAGTTTCCTTCCTTAGTATCCTCCTTCCCAGCTCTGACACCACAGAGCCTTACACCTGTGTCCCTGTTCCCATTCCTATCCTTAGCCAAACATGATTCCAATTTCCTTACCCCCATTCCCTGTTCCCATCTCCCTCCCCCACCCACCCACCCCCTCCCACCCACACCCACACCCACTCACTTCCTCATTGACTACAGATTATATAATAAAACTTGAGTTCTCCTTAGCTATACCTTAACCAATCATTTTCCTGAAATTTAACTAACCAATCCTAACATATTGTAACATGATTATGTAACCAGTTATATCCCACCACCTTAATTAGTTTACACCCAGCAAAATTAATTATACAGCAGACAGGAACAATCACAGAACCAGAGAGATTATATAGACAAACAATAGCAAAGTGGGAACTATAATGAAAAAACAATACAGAAGTGAGGATTTCACATCCCAGCTATTGATAAGTGAGTTCTTGCCAGACAGGATGCTATCAAACTAAGTTTCCTTTTACATTTTCTAGGCACTTCCCTTTCTCTGGAGGTGATAGGAATACAATTCTGTCCTGATAGTGCCTAACAGACCAATAGCACCTTATTTCAATGTGACTAGTTTGGAATGTGAGGATGTGACTGTTCGCTTCCTAGCTTATGGCTGCCTCTGCTGCTTAGCCAAAGGCCTTAGCCTAAGAACAGGGCCTCAGACTGTCACAGTAAGAGAAGGCCCTTACACCAGCAGACAGTGATTTTGATTCTTTCTTTTATACCTCTATAATTAGCCAAGTGATAAGAATACACCTAAATTCTTAGAGTATAGGCCTTTACAGACAGGCCTGAATATCTATATCCTAACAGCTGGAAGAATATTAGCAAGGAACTTCCATGATAATATCAACAGCCTTTACTGTACATAAAATGTTTAACGAGGGAGGATAGATCATATTTTAGCATGTTTAGTCAGTTAATTCTATTACTAAGAGATTGAATGATAGAATTTGGAGGTCAGGTTGACATTTGGAGGAAAGTCAATGATTGAAAGCTTTCTACACAACCCTGTTAACAGGAGTTAGAAAGAGCAACAAAAACAAAGGAGTTGAGCATCGCATGAGCAAAAACCTCTATGAATGTACTGGAGGAACAATACAGAACAGTGATGTGAAAAAGTGTGTTTCTTAAAACAAGCATAATAAATTGTAATCATAAAAGAAGATATTAAAGGAGTAAAAATTATGCTAAGTGTAGGAAAAAAGTAATGGGGCAAAGCAGATTTTAGGTATTGGATGAACTGAAGTTAATTCAGAGAAAATTACTGTTCAGGAAAGAAAGTCATAAAAAAAAAGAGGTGGTAAAACTGATTTAGGGAAGTATTTAAGAAGGTGAGTAATGTACTTTATGTATAATTATTTTTATAGTTTAAAAATTTTACAATGATATTTATTTGTCATCTTGGGGCTAAGAAAAAATGTTAATAAGTTAGTTAAATGAGTTTGGCATATGCCTACTGTAGTTGTGCATGTTGAAATAAAAAAAACAAGGGAAAAGCACTGTGTGTTCATTCAAATGCCTAGCACACTTATGGACACGAATAAAAAATAAGAAAAATCAATTAGAAATACCTCTAAGAGGGTTCAGGCTATTTTCTAAGTGAAGAAAAAATATTCTCATGGCCTAAAAGCCATCACACAACTTTATTCAATGGCAGAACATCCTTTAAAAAGTTGGAAACTTCATCTAAAACCTTACATTTTAAAAAAATAAAGTAAAATTGTATTACCATGAAAGTTCCATGGCTTGTAAGAAAACTGTACAGGATCACAGTTCACTTTTACAATTCTGTTCAATAGCACCTCTTTCACAGCAAAGTCATAGTGATTCTTGGATCTTTTAATGAATTTAAGCCCCTACTCTCTCTTGAACCATGTAATATCAAACTAAACTAGTGTTAACCTTACCATACATAACCTCTCCTCAGATACATTCTCCATAAATAAATCTTAATTTGCTATCTCTTCATTTAATGAATATGTTGTTTTTGTTTAGATAAGTTCTTTTCTGTTTGCTTCTTCACGACATTACAGACAGCTATTTTACTGGTTATCAAACTATGCTATAATTATGTTAATACAACAATAGTATGTACCTTCAAATACAGTACTTAACATTCAGACCTTGAAATTACTGTTGTGACTTTTTGGTATTTACTATTACTTATACGATATTTTTATTGTCTAAGACCTCTGACAAATAAAAAATATTACAGAAACAAATTGGTTTATATTTTGCTACAGAACTACCCATGTTTTTGAAACGTTAAATTCTCAGCTGTGAACATGACTACAACATAATTTATCCCGCATTAACAGATAAAAGTGGGACTGACAAAATCTGTAATCATTCTGTCAGAATCTGCAATCTTTCCGCTGCTTTGCTGAGCTGATTTTTGCCTCAGTATATATGCTTATTCCACTTTCAAGACACATTTTAACATCACTCCCCAGGCTAGTAATCATGCATATATCAACAGTCATGTCATCCCAATATAACTATGTAAAATAAGTTGTAAAACATCCATAAAAATGGGGAAAATTTGACTCAAATATTCCATTTTTTCTTAAATTTTCCATTGGCTCTTACTGTTTTTTCAATAGACTACACATGGGCTGAAATCCTCCAGCTTTACCAAGGACCAATGGGAGTTTTCCTGAGCAACAACAGAATGAAGATAGATCATCATTTGAATATCAGCTTCAGGGTTAGATTGTGTAT